CAGCGTGCACGGAAGTAATTCTCGGTCACTTACAAAAGATGCAATCTGAGTTATTTTGAAATGGCTCCATGTGACCTAGTTTATGTTTGGTGTGCACGGGCGTAACTTTAGGTCACTTACATAAGGTGAATATTGAGTAAGGTTGAAATGCCTCCTAGTGAACTAGTTCATGCTTGGTGTGCACGGACGTAACTTTAGGTCACTTACATAAGGTGAATATTGAGTAAGGTTGAAATGCCTCCTAGTGAACTAGTTCATGCTTGCTTGGTGTGCACGGACGTAACTTTAGGTCCCTAACATAAGGTGCATATTGAGTAAGGTTGAAATGCCTTTTGTTGATATATTACATTTAAGGGTACATTCTAGTTTTACGCAATAGAAAGGCCGGAGAATAAATTTAATAATTTGCTTCTTCATACTTATTAGTTTACACATTCTTTATCAAATATGAAGAAAGTGAAAGCATTTTCGAGCTAGGGTTCACGCGGCTTTGAACAGTATTCCAGTTACACTACAGCGTATCAGTTTGATATGGACCGAATGCCCTGATAGTAATGAGTGAGTGAGTGAGTTGGTTTTAACGCCGATTTTAACAGTATTCAAGTTAGAACCAAAGCCTGTCAGCTTAATGAGGGAGGAAAGCCCGAAGTGATACAGGTCTCAGACATTTACCACTTTGGTGAAACCCACGAGCATGGGTATGGTGATGACAAACATAATCGGGGCGAACCGGGGTACCAACCCACAATCATAGTATTTGGGCGTGCCCAAGGGAAGCCCATTAGATGACTGGCCCCCCCGTGCCCCCGCCAAAATTGCAGTTGGTAGACGATTACACCTTTGTTTACAGCACCAGCACGAATACTGTGATAACATAGGTTTAATAATCAGGGTGAATCAACCCACGAACATAGGATCCTTAAACGGACAAGGGATGCAACTCTGCAACCTATGTGGTGTATTGGATCACCAATGGCACCTTTTCATCCCAATAGAGAAAAACAAATTTCAGTGAGGATGTTATAATCATTATTGTAACAAAACAACATTGTGGATGCGCATTGTCCAATAAGACTTGAAGACAGTAAATATCCTGTACATTTCCCTGCGTATGACTCGCGTAACCCGACATGACATGACGAACAGTGTATTCATTGTATATTGCGTGTAATATATTCATATCAAAGCATCTTCGCTTTTGGATTCGTTTTCGAGTTCTGCTGTGTGATTCATCATCAATTTTCTCAAGAGCGAAAGTTGTCACAAAGGGTTTAAGTAAAACACCACTGTTGAACGATATATAACTTAATATAACAGGTATCGGAAAGAAAGTCACTTATTCGAGAATAAGATGAAATTATGTGACGTTAGCATCCAGTAATGTCACTCATTTGAATTTGAAAACACCGCCCTATTTAGTTAAAGTGTTCGGTTATGGTTGGTATGGCAAATTTGTGGCTGTAGAGCTTACGCCTGTTCGAAGGTACTGAAAGTTTTACCACATGTTATGTGAGAACACCATTTTTGTCCTCCGCTGAGATATTGCTTGAATTTTGTAAAAACCGCATTAAAACCTCATTTATTAACAAACACGAGCTGACAAAAAGTACTTTAAAGAGACAGAAGGACGCCAACATCAATTAGCGTTGATAGATGAGTGAGTGAGTATGGTTTTACGCCGCTTTTAGCAATATTCCTGCAACATCAGGGCGAGGGTAACAGGAATAGTGTGTCCACTGGAATACCCAAACGCCCCTTTTAGAAAGAAAGTTAACGGGTGAAAAATCACGAGGACCAAGCAAACCTGTGATCGATAGTATAAGAACCCGTTTACGTCATCCGAGTGGGAGGACAGTACGGACACAACTGGTAGGTTCGACATCGATATCAAGCACCATTCTGTCTCAGCAAGCATGATAACAACCGATCTCCGCGTTCACCTGTTAAATGTGAATGAGAGAATTCGGTTTTACGCCGCATGTAACAGTATTGGACGCCATAAATGGGCTTCACACATTCTACCCGTGTCGGAAATCGATCTCGCTTTAACCCCTAGGTTATCCCACAGCCTCTATCAATACTACGCTGGGAAAGGGCAGTGGTTGATGTATTCCCACGTTTCGCAGTGGAACTCGTTTACTCGTCGTAAGAGGCGACTAACGGGATCGGTGGCCAGGCTCGCTGTCTTGGTTGATGCATGTCATCGTATCACAATTGCGTGGCTAATGATGTCCATCACTGGATTGTCTGGTCCAGACTCGATTATTTACAGACCGCCGTCATATAGCGGGAATATTGCAGAGTGCGGCGTTAAACAACGAACAAACAAGGAGCTGCGATCGCCTCGGCGCAAACGTCTGTTTGTGTCTACATGTTGAGGTGAGGTGAAATAGGGTTTAACGTCGCGACCAAGGTTATTGCACTTATATAGCGACGTGCATGCACGTGTGTGTGTGTGTGTGTGGCTGCTTGTACTAGTCCGGACTGATGCCGATTTATAGTGCTAGCACACTGAGATAACATGCCGCAGTTTAACATGGATACACCACTCAGACACAGTATACTGACTCCGAGCCGACCAGTCCTTGTTTTAACCCCTTAATACCGAGCGCCAGACAGGGTAACAACAAGTACCATCTTTTAACGTCTTTTGGTCTCACGCGGCCGGGGATCGAACCCCGGACCTTCCGCTCTCCGGGCGGACGCTCTACCACTAGACCACGGAGGCGGTCCTACATGTTGACCACAAAACAAACAAGTGAGTGAAAGGGTGAGTAAGTAAAACCACTGGAAATAACATACCATGATATGGATAATCATATAGGTTAGACGGAAAGACAAAAATGAAAATAACCTTATCAAAAGTAGAGTTGTATATTTCAATTACAGCACGGTTCGTCAGCTTCGATGACCCGTGAAGATCCAGGGTAGAAGAGGTCTTCAGCAACCCATGCTTGCCGTAAAAGGCGACTATGCTTGTTGTAACAGGCGACTAACGGGATCGGGTGGTCAGGCTCTCTGACTTGGTTGATGCATGTCACCGATCCCAATTGCGTGGATCGATGTTCATGATGTCAACCACTGGATTGTCTGGTCCAGACTTGATTATTTACAGACCGCCGTCATATAGCTAGAATATTGCTGAGTGTGGCGTTAAACAAGAAACAAACAAAATCAAGTATGATACTGGCTGGCCAAGGATTATATTTTAATGTCGAATCTCAGATTCGACAACACGACTTCCGGAATCTCTACGTGGCTCATGATGAACAAGCTGTCCGAGACAGTGGCGATAACAAGACAGTGCAACACGTTATTGTTTATATCATACGTTCATCCATTACGATATCAAGGCAGGTGTTTCATTACCGTAATTGTTCTGCACCTACTTTGAATGGCTCTACCACGGTTGCTTCAGTGCCTACTTGAATAGTAACAACTACGACGAATGTTCTACTTCAGATACCACGACTGTTGCTACAACTACCACGACTGTTACTACATCTACCACGACCGTTGCTACAACTACCACGACTGTTACTACATCTACCACGACTGTTGCTGCGACTATCCCGACTGTTGCTACAACTACCAGGACTGTTGCTACAACTACCAGGACTGTTGCTACATCTACCACAACCGTTGCTACAACTACCACGACCGTTACTACATCTACCACGACTGTTGCTACAACTACCCCGACTGTTACTACATCTACCACGACTGTTGCTACAACTACCACGACTGTTTCTGCATCTACCACGGCTGTTACTACATCTACCACGACTGTTGCTACAACTACCACGACTGTTGCTACAACTACCACGACTGTTGCTACAACTACCACGACTGTTACTACATCTACCACGACTGTTACTACATCTATCACGACTGTTGCTACAACTACCACGGATGTTACTACATCTACCACGACTGTTGCTACAACTACCACGACTGTTGCTCCAACTACCACGACCGTTGCTACAACTACCACGACCGTTACTACATCTACCACGACTGTTGCTACAACTACCCCGACTGTTACTACATCTACCACGACGGTTGCTACAACTACCACGACTGTTGCTACAACTACAACGACTTTAACTACATCTATCACGACTGTTGCTACAACTACAACGACTGTTGCTACAACCCTCACGACTGTAACTACATCTATCACGACGGTTGCTACAACTACCACGACTGTTACTACATCTACCACGACTGTTGCTACAACTACCACGACTGTTGCTACAACTACCACGACCGTTGCTACAACTACCACGACCGTTACTACATCTACCACGACTGTTGCTACAACTACCCCGACTGTTACTACATCTACCACGACGGTTGCTACAACTACCACGACTGTTGCTACAACTACAACGACTTTAACTACATCTATCACGACTGTTGCTACAACTACAACGACTGTTGCTACAACCCTCACGACTGTAACTTCATCTATCACGACGGTTGCTACAACTACCACGACTGTTACTACATCTATCACGACTGTTGCTACAACTACCACGACTGTTGCTACAACTACCACGACCGTTGCTACAACTACCACGACCGTTACTACATCTACCACGACTGTTGCTACAACTACCCCGACTGTTACTACATCTACCACGACGGTTGCTACAACTACCACGACTGTTACTACATCTACCACGACCGTTGCTACAACTACCACGACCGTTACTACATCTACCACGACTGTTGCTACAACTACCCCGACTGTTACTACATCTACCACGACTGTTGCTACAACTTATTCGGCTGTTACTACATCTACCACGACTGTTACTACAACTACAACGACTGTTGCTACAACTACCACGACCGTTACTACATCTACCACGACTGTTGCTACAACTACCACGACTGTTGCTACATCTACCACGACGGTTGCTACATCTATCACGACTGTTGCTACAACTACCAGGACTGTTACATATACCACGAATGTTACTCCAACTACCCCAATGGTTGCTTCAACTTCCACGACTGTTACTACATCTACCACGACTGTTGCTACAACTAACACGGCTGTTACTACATCTACCACGACTGTTACTACATCTACCACGACTGTTGCTACAACTACCACGACTGTTGCTACAACTAACACGGCTGTTACTACATCTACCACGACTGTTACTACATCTATCACGACGGTTGCTACAACTACCACGACTGTTACTACATCTACCACGACTGTTGCTACATCTACCACGACTGTTGCTACAACTACCACGACTGTTACTACATCTATCACGACGGTTGCTACAACTACCACGACTGTTTCTGCATCTACCACGACTGTTACTACATCTACCACGACTGTTACTACATCTACCACGACTGTAACTACATCTACCACGACTGTTGCTACATCTACCACGACTGTTGCTAAAACTACCACGACTGTTGCTACAACTACCACGACTGTTGCTACAACTACCACGACTGTTGCTACAACTACCACGACTGTTACTACATCTGCCACGACGGTTGCTACAACTACCACGACTGTTGCTACAACTACCACGACCGTTACTACATCTACCACGACTGTTGCTACAACTACCACGACTGTTGCTACAACTACCACGACTATTTCTGCATCTACCACGACTGTTACTACATCTACCACGACTGTTGCTACATCTAACACGGCTGTTACTACAACTACCACGACGGTTGCTACATCTATCACGACGGTTGCTACAACTACCACGACTGTTACTACATCTATCACGACTGTTGCTACAACTGCCACGACTGTTACTACATCTACCACGAATGTTGCTACAACTACCACGACCGTTACTACATCTACCACGACTGTTGCTACATCTACCACGGAAGTTACTACATCTACCACGACTGTTGCTACAACTACCACGACTGTTGCTACAACTACCACGACCGTTGCTACAACTTCCACGACCGTTTCTACATCTACGACGACTGTTGCTACAACTACCCCGACTGTTACTACATCTATCACGACGGTTGCTACAACTACCACGACTGTTGCTACAACTACCCCGACTTTAACTACATCTATCACGACTGTTGCTACAACTACAACGACTGTCGCTACAACCCTCACGACTGTAACTACATCTATCACGACGGTTGCTACAACTACCACGACTGTTACTACATCTATCACGACGGTTGCTACAACTACAACGACTGTTACTACATCTATCACGACTGTTGCTACAACCCTCACGACTGTAACTACATCTATCACGACGGTTGCTACAACTACCACGACTGTTACTACAACTACCAGGACTGTTGCTACATCTACCACGACTGTTGCTACATCTATCACGACGGTTGCTACAACTACCACGGAAGTTACTACATCTACCACGACTGTTGCTACATCTACCACGACTGTTGCTACATCTACCACGACTGTTACTACATCTACCACGACTGTTGCTACATCTACCACGACTGTTGCTACATCTACCACGACTGTTACTACATCTACCACGACTGTTACTACATCTACCACGACTGTTACTACATCTACCACGACTGTTGCTACATCTACCACGACTGTTACTACATCTACCACGACTGTTGCTACATCTACCACGACGGTTGCTACATCTATCACGACTGTTGCTACAACTACCAGGACTGTTACATATACCACAAATGTTACTCCAACTACCCCAATGGTTGCTTCAACTTCCACGACTGTTACTACATCTACCACGACCGTTGCTACATCTACCACGACTGTTACTACATCTACCACGACCGTTGCTACATCTACCACGACTGTTGCTACATCTACCACGACTGTTGCTACATCTACCACGACTGTTACTACATCTACCACGACTGTTACTACATCTACCACGACCGTTACTACATCTACCACGACTGTTGCTACATCTACCACGACTGTTGCTACATCTACCACGACTGTTACTACAACTACCACGACTGTTACTACATCTACCACGACTGTTGCTACATCTACCACGACTGTTACTACATCTACCACGACTGTTACTACAACTACCACGACCGTTACTACATCTACCACGACTGTTACTACATCTACCACGGCTGTTGCTACATCTACCACGACGGTTGCTACATCTATCACGACTGTTGCTACAACTACCAGGACTGTTACATATACCACAAATGTTACTCCAACTACCCCAATGGTTGCTTCAACTTCCACGACTGTTACTACATCTACCACGACCGTTGCTACAACTAACACGGCTGTTACTACATCTACCACGACTGTTACTACATCTACCACGACTGTTGCTACATCTACCACGACTGTTGCTACATCTACCACGACTGTTACTACATCTACCACGACTGTTGCTACATCTACCACGACGGTTGCTACATCTATCACGACTGTTGCTACAACTACCAGGACTGTTACATATACCACAAATGTTACTCCAACTACCCCAATGGTTGCTTCAACTTCCACGACTGTTACTACATCTACCACGACCGTTGCTACATCTACCACGACTGTTACTACATCTACCACGACCGTTGCTACATCTACCACGACTGTTGCTACATCTACCACGACTGTTGCTACATCTACCACGACTGTTACTACATCTACCACGACTGTTACTACATCTACCACGACTGTTACTACATCTACCACGACTGTTGCTACATCTACCACGACTGTTGCTACATCTACCACGACTGTTACTACAACTACCACGACTGTTACTACATCTACCACGACTGTTGCTACATCTACCACGACTGTTACTACATCTACCACGACTGTTACTACAACTACCACGACCGTTACTACATCTACCACGACTGTTACTACATCTACCACGGCTGTTGCTACATCTACCACGACGGTTGCTACATCTATCACGACTGTTGCTACAACTACCAGGACTGTTACATATACCACAAATGTTACTCCAACTACCCCAATGGTTGCTTCAACTTCCACGACTGTTACTACATCTACCACGACCGTTGCTACAACTAACACGGCTGTTACTACATCTACCACGACTGTTACTACATCTATCACGACGGTTGCTACAACTACCACGACCGTTACTACATCTATCACGATTGTTGCTACAACTATCACGACTGTTACTACATCTATCACGACGGTTGCTACATCTACCACGACTGTTACTACAACTACCAGGACTGTTACATATACCACGAATGTTACTCCAACTACCCCAATGGTTGCTTCAACTACCACGACTGTTACTACATCTGCCACGGCCGTCACTAAATGTAAAACCACGGTTGCTATTGTGCAACATCCTTTTTTAGCATACGCATCAAATCTACGACCTTTTTCAGTTGTTATTCCAAAAATCCCAGAAGGACCACTTCAAGAATCCCATCTCCTACATGACGTCACTAATAGGACCACATTTATGTAACATTCAAGGATGTGACTTGATAGCCGCTGTCTCTTATTCCTTGTTTATCTCCGTAATATTATAACACATCACGGAAACCACGGTTATAATGAATGGCGTATTTAATGTGTACTGATAGTTATGTTGTTTATTGTCATAATGAAAAAGAAAACAGGTTAAACATTAATAAAACGAAAAACAGGATACACCAAAACGTGATTAACTTAAAAAAATAAATCGTCCAAGGAGACTCTACCCCAGGTGTACTCGACTCTTTGTAGATTTACCTGCGTTCCGGTTGGGAACCAGAGGAAGAGTCTTGACAGGACGTTGTACTCGTATACAGGTGTTTTCTAGCCACCACAAGACTACACCTGTGCACTCATTAGCGTTATTATCCGCGTTTCAAACAAAATCAGGCTTTTGAACAGAGGACTCCCTTCGATGACGCATTGAACCATGGGGTTCGGTGAATCAATTACCCGACAAATATTGATAGAAAAGTCGCACAAAGGAAGTTGAGAATCCCCATGGAGCTTTCGATATCGCGACACTGACATATCATGGCGAGCGTCTGGTAAGACGCCGATACGATGAGAACGATGTCAGGAGCTTGGGGAGAAGGAGGGGACGGGAGCATTCAGTTTTGTCATTTGTCATTCGACGTGTAGCATAACAAATGGTCCCCTGTAGATGTTACTCGCGGAGCGGGTTGACATGTTTTTAAAATCATCTTGATATTCTATATTTTACGGCTTGCTGTGAGGAGTGATTAGTTGAGTTCGTGTTTCACAAAAGTCATTGTCTTTCTGTGGACAAAATTACGCGTATATGAAGAACTTGGTAAGTTTTTGGTTTGAAACAAGGCAATATACACCAGGCAGGAAAATAACAATAAATAACGTTATACGAAGCAAATAATGCAACAACAATTAACAGACGAGGAAGAATCAGGGTCCTTTTTTGCACAATGGAAATGTCAAATTTTAATGTCATGGGGATAAACACAAGCTGCCTGTTAGTCGTTAGTTTAACAGTCGCATTACCATCTCATCCTACGGGGTACCCATTCACTGCTGGCATGTTTCCAACAAAGTGACTTGCTAAAGGAGACACCACATTTGCTACATGTGCTTTAGAGTGGAGCGGAAGAAGTGAAACTGAGAACAAGAAACTCTCAGGGGCCAAGGGGTCGAACACGGTCACCCATCCACCTACTCTCCGCGACCAGCGTTGCAAACGTCACCTGATATGTGGCCTGTGAGCTGTACTCAGCACCACGTGGGTTTACAGGTATCACTTTGTCTTTCCTAAACTTGCATGTTTCGTTCTTCTGACATAAGCAAGGACATAAATGTGGACAAATGGAGGGAAAATGGTCAAGTGATATTCTAACTGTGTGTACGTCCGTTACTGGATATGACTTTAACCATATATGTTTACTGTCTTTATCTACATCTCCTGTTAAAATGAGGTTGGTACAAAGACGTACTCATGTTAAAATCAAAACTCTATAATGCCTCCAAATCAGCACTTTAGCCTTACTCTTCATCTAGTTTTGTTGTACAGTAAACTACGGTTATAACGAACTCAAAGGGACCACTAATTTTAGTTCCTTATAACCGTAGTTCGTTATCAACATATATACAGCAATTCGCCAGGACTAAAAATAAGTTCGTTATATCCGTCAGTTCGTTAGAAGCATGTTCGTTACAAACGTAATTTAGTCCACAACATACACGCGCTGCTATGAACAAAACCAAATCTCTTTCATGGGATCATTTCTTATTTTTTGCAGATCATGTGCTATTACCCTACCTCGTTCTTTCAAGACATTGTTAAGACATTTTCAGGACATGGTTCATATCATGGCAGATCACATAACAAATATTGATGTCGGAAATACCAGAGGAGAAGAGGATAGAAGGAGATGTTTCCAAGTTTTGAGAAACACATGAGAAAGTTTATAGTGGTGACAACAAAAGATCCGAAATTCGAACCTTACACCAGAGAAGTCTTATACCAAGGGAAAGCAAAACAGCACAGCGATACGCAACGTTGTCCTCATAGTCACAAGGAGGGTCTTTTTAGCGTCATTCAACTGCCTGGGAAAAGATTATTCACTTCAAAAATTATATTTGCCCAAAATAAACGTTACAAGGTTGAAAACAGTCTCCGAAACACTGCAAACGTTAGGTCCGAACACAGGTAGGATACCCGTATCAAATACATTACCATCGATTAACCATTTCTTGTATTTTGTTATACCCACCATCAAACATGGTGTATACTTTCTTTTGTCCGGTACTTTATTATGGTACATGTTTGTCTGCATATATCCCAGTACTTTCATTATTACACACCAGAATAAAGGCTTGTTTAAAATTTGTACAAAGTTGAAGAAGAAGAAAAAACACATTTTATTCAAATGCACTGAGATGTATTCATCTTGAAATAGACCAGGACCTACCCGATACTAATAACCTTGTTACAGGTAAAAATATAAGTCATTAGGTTTATGAGCTCTCATTTCGAGTAGACATACAATCAATAAAGTTTCGATGCCCCTTAGTATAACAGCTTTCACGTTTATTGGTAGTATTGGGTCGTAACGTCCCGTGGGTATTGACAATGTTAAGGACCCGTTTGCTAATGAAGCATTATACAAATTATTCATGATCGTGGTGATGTCTTTTTTCATGAAAAGTGAAGCAATGATGCATATGTTCAATCAAACGTACGACGAAAAGTCACATGTTTGGCTAAAAGTTGCATGAAATATCTGACAAGTAGCGAACCTAATTAAAGAAGTTACAGAGTTGGAACTATGGTGACATATTGATGCTAAAGTGGGCATGTTTTGTAATTGGAATAACTGAAGAGGAAATGCTAATGCTCGTTATGGAATTTGTAGCCTGAAGCCATATATCACAAAACTGGTCAAAGAACTGCTTTCAAAAATTGTATCAACAGTTGATGTCTTAGCCAAAGAGATGCCACCGTTTTATCATCAATAACTCCGAAAAAATGATTCTATCGTGACACGTTAAATTCCTCCGTGAATTAGTTTTCGAACAATACACATGACTGATCTAAAAAAAACATTTATTTTAATATTTTGTTTCTCATTAATTAATTTTGTAACCTATGCTAACATATCATCTGCAACTTCTCAAACGTGTTTCTGTCTGGTGAGTCAATAATTTGTTGTTTTACGAATGAAGTGTCATAGTCAAAGGCTATACTGTTGGTCTATTCTTATAGCTGGATACTTGTAACCGCATGACAGGCATGAATGAGCGAATCGTTGAAACCAACAACTCTTCTCCGTTTACAAACCTCAGATGGATATGATACAAGGCATGCATGACTGACACTTGCTTCCCGCTTGCATCACGGACCCAGCTCGTGTTGTAAATGTACAATTAAGACGAATTATACGTATTAAGGTCAGGCGTTTTTGTTAAATGACAGGAATATGTGTCCTGATGGACGATAGTAAGCACAAGAGACAAAATACCGAAGATAAAAACAAAGTGTCTGTTAATACGTACCTCATTATCCCTTCCATCATGTTGTGTACGACAGGGTTGTCTTCTAGCCCCCTTCTTTTTATCACAAACGTTGAAAGATTGCTCCATGGCTGACGCATTCGCGCTGATGCGTTTTAAACGTTGGAAATATGTTCTCATTGTGTTGTGTGCAGTGTCCATCAACATTATACAATCCTCAAATGTGATTACTTTGTTTGTTTGTTTGTTTGTTTGTTGTCAAACGATGAACTCAGCGTGGGGCTAGCTGTATGACGACGACCATAAAAAATCGTGTGTGGAAAAAGATAATCTAGTGGCTGATATTGTGAGCATCAAGCCACAGTTTTGGTGTGCGATTCGCAATAAAAAAATTTAGTCTGACCACCTGATCCACTTGGTCGCCTCTTACAACCAGCATAGGGTGCTGTGGACCAATTCTAACTCGGATTCCACACGGGGTTGATTGTCTTTCATCACACCCTCATACTGATGACATATCAAAATTTAGGTTGATAAAACACACTTTCGATGAACGTTTTCGAATATGATTACATGAATTACTTAAATGATTATTGTGCTTATCAGTATATCAGTACTTTGTTTCCATCCAAACAAATTCCAGACATTGACATGAATACGAAATATCACTGGATAACAAAACTTTTCTGAAAGTTTTTGTCAACGCGTACGCTGGATGATGACAATAGGGAGTTTGTTTAAACGCCGCCTCGAAAATTATTTTAATTGCATTAGGTGTGTTAGCTGATGTTGGTGGAAAGCACATAGTGTGCATGTTGTCGACGTTTTCCACAGGGCTGAAACCTAATATAACGGACATGGTGCTGACAAACCTAGACAAATAATTTGGGAGAATTTGGGATTCGAACTCACGATCGTGGGCTTCGGGCACGCCCAAGGGCCGTAAGTTTACAAAGTGAATTGCTGGGCTACGATTGGGCCACCCACGTCCCTCTTTAGGATCATAATCATCAACACAGTGGCAATATGCAGTGAAATCTGGAGGACACATGACACAATTCACACACTTTATCACAACTTGCTACTGCAAAACAAGGGGCGGTCGGGTAGCCTAGTGGTTTATGCGTTCGCTCGTCACGCGGAAAAGCCAGGTACAATGTGTGAAGGCCATTTCTGGCGTCCCCTGCCGTGATATTGCTGGAATATTGATAAATGCGGCGTAAAACCATGCTAATGGATCAGGTGGTCAGGTTCGGTGACTTGGTTGATAGCGTGTCATCATAGCCCGACGGCGTGGATCGTTACTCACAATATCAATCACTGGCCTATCTGGTCCATACGCGATTATCCACAGGCCACCGTCATATAGCTGAGTGAGGCGTTAAACAACAAACACACTACACAAGAAAGACCTTTTCAGTTCAAAAATGTAAATGTTTCAACACAGTTTGCCTTAGTGTTTCTGTAAGGTGGTATTTCACAATCAACACGTGGCCTTCACTTTGAAATAGTTTGACAACCATTAACGCCAACTATATATGTCAGCACAGTAGCACAAGAATGCCCAACCTTGGAAATAACTGGTACTTATTTACCTCACATAGGTCAACCCAGAGACATGTTCTTAGACGAACTTGCTGACACCGATATCAGATACCGGGTTCCGTCCTGTGGCCATGCAGGACACTATTAACCGCCAATGAGGAAAATGTCCTCGTCCTCATCTGCATGTACCAAGCTACCCCCCCCCCCCCCCCCCTCCCCCCCCAACCCCCACCCCCACCCCCGTCTTAATGTAGTGTCACGGTGGACGCCCACAAGCTCATGTGCCATTTACGGCAAGCATGGGTTGCTGAAGACCTATTCTAACATGGATCTTCACGGGTAGTTTCAGATGAAGCTGATACCATTATTTCAACATTAAACCTTAAATTGGAGTAGGTGAGTGAGTGAGAATGGTTTTACGCCGATTTTAGCAATATTCCAGCAATATCACGGCGGAGGACACCAGAAACGGGCTTCACAGATTGTACCCATGTGGTGATTCGAACCGGGTCTTCGGCTTGATGAGCTGACGCTGTACCAAGAAACCTATTAAGGGTTAAGCTGGTAATGAACCCGATATCTTTGCATTCTGGCACGCCAAAGGGGCACAACCCTGAACATCGAATATGTATATGTGGAAATATCAGTTTAACAGGACTTAACCGTACGTTTTGAGAATGCTATTAGGGACCATTTGCAGTGTATTTGCTGACGTCATGAGGATTAATCTATATAATTACGATTCGACAAAGTGAGGGTGTCTCGACGCGACCAAATTCAACTCTAAAAGGGGACATCCTGTTGTGTTCGTGTAGACAGTGTTTGTGAGGGTCATGTTAGTAAGAATCGCGTTGACAGAATGTTGTGTCATGCGTTCTCTATACTTGGCAGTGATCATGTCTAAGGTTTCGTTCGTACACTGCATATAATTATATTAATTCATGTGTTTTCATTCCCATTACCATTCTCAAAAACCCATCTCCAATGACAGCACAACATACTGAATGTTGCTGATGCTGCGTCAAGCAACACGCATTTTCTCTCAACGTTGAAGTTGTATATGCGTCATCATTTTTTAACTACGGTGAATTTTATGTTGGAATGTCGTCGTAATAACCTAAGCGGCAAAAAGAAAGTATAGGTTGGCAATTTGTAATTTTCCTAAAAACAGCGATAACTAGTGGAAAGTGGGT